TCCTCCACTAAGAAGACCGAACAAATATTTGCAGAGCTGCTAGCTGGGCTTGGTTCATGGCAGGTATTCCGCAAATGTCAATCATTGCTGTGCTTACCGTTAGTAACTTTCAGAAGAATTTCTGTGGCTTCATTCACAACTTTAAGCACCTATACAAACACAAAAAAAGCTAAAATAAAAAAAAGGCGTTTTGATGACTATTAAGAAAATCCAATTACAGCATAAATAATGCAAGCCCCAAATAGAATGGGTTTTGATTAAGTATTAGATATAGTATATGTCTGATAAATGTGCATTGCACTGAATTCAAGAAAATGTCATAAAAGCTGCCCAATTTCAGCTCTGGAGGCTTCATGTCTACTTTACTCATCCCTTTTTGGGGACTCCATTTCCATGGTCATGAAGGTGGCGTTGTGAATCCCTCTTTAAAGCCACTATCTGCAGTGGGATAAGCCTGTTCCTTGCAACAAACTGTCTCCATTAAACCAGTACCCCGTAAAAGGCTTCTAAGCAAGCTATGAGCCCATGGATGGGGGAGACACACTTGTCATGTTAGGCTGGCTGTGTAAGATAGGTCTGCCCTGCTAACCCTTTGTCCCCACAGTTTCATAAATATTTTTGTGTGTGAGGAATTTTAAATTTCTAAGGCCACGTTTAGAGAAATAACCAAGTCATTCATTCCTTGGTCTGCCTGGAGGAGGGGAAAGGCCATGAGGTTGGTTGAGGCATTAGGGTTTCTCTTATTTCATCCAGATTCTCTCAACTGGCCATCTTGGTGGTAAGGAGAGGAGAGTGGAAGAGTATAAAATTCTTGGATCAATTTCTTACCAGTGATGTGGGGAGCAGAGTAGAACTGAACAGGACAGATCTCAATAGAGCCAAGCATAGAGGAGGCAAGTCTGATATTCATAATTCAAGAGAGAAATTGCCAAGGAAGGCAAGATTGGGAGTATCGAGTTTCAAGGTCAGCTGGGAAAATGTTAGTGAGCCCCATCTCAACCAATAAGCTGGGAGTGGTGGCACATGCCTATCAACTACATGGAGGGCATAGGTAGGAGGATCAATATCAGAGGTCTGCCCACGCAAAAGCATAAGATCCCATTCAAAAAATAACTAAAGCAGAAAAAGGCCAGAAGACTGGCTCAAGTGGTAGAAGTGCATACTTAGCAAGCATAATGCACTAATTTCAAACTCCAGTATGAGAGAGAGAAAGAGAGAGAGAGACAGAGAGACAGAGAGAGAGAGAGAGAGAGAGAGGAATTTCATATGACTAAAAGCAAGAAATAAATTCCAACACGCAGGATTGGCAGAGTGGCTCAAGTGGTAGAGTGTCTGCCTAGCAAGTGTGAATCCTGAGTTCAAACCCCAGTGACACCAGAAACAAACAAACAAACAAAGCAAAAGACCAAATGAGTTCCAACAAGTGACCATGGTCCAGACATGCTAACCTTCCACAAAGTGTCCCATTCCCGCTGTGCAGGGCACTAAGCAACTACGATAAACACATAGGGTGGGGGAGACAGAAAGGGACAAGACTTGGTCTCCTCGTACAAAGCCCATACACAGCAGAGTCACCCTTGAAAATGAATCAAACATGTAAATAATGAAAACTCAGAATATTTAAACAAGTCTTGGCACCAGTAGTCTTTTTATCTTGACAGCTGGGTGAAAAAGGCTATTTACATATTCACATCAAGCACATGAAAACTACTGAGACAGTGAAAAAACCTACAAACCGGGCAAGTCATCACCTTCATAGATAAGTATTGGGTACTTATTTAAATAGACAGATTTTTTTTTTGCAAAAATGTATCTAAAAGTCCTTAAACTATCTCGCCTTGTTGCTACTAGATGAAATAGTAAAAGTTTATTTCCTCTTATGATTATTTAAAATGCCAAAGTAAATAAAAATCTCTCCCACTTGGTGCTAATGAAAGAATAAAAGCATCAGCCACCAGGTGAACTAAAGCAGGATGTTTTAAGTGACATTGTGTGTGTGAAGTAGAGACTAGAGTCAGGCTGACTTGGGCAGAGCTATGAAACTGATCAATTCCCACCCAGCAATTGACTTGGATTCCCCTCTAGTTTGGGTAGCTCTTAACTGAAGGGCACAAATCCAGAGTATCTTGAGAGTCATAAATACCAGGAAAGTGCTACTTGCCCATATCTAATCCTGCCCTTAAAAATCAGCAAGTATGGGCCTGTACAATTCTCACAAGGTTATTAGAGAATGCATTAATAAAACTGGCATATAAATCTAGAAAATTCTTTTTAAAAATCTTCACAAACACAAATGACACAGAGTAGCCCTTGGCACAAGAAAGCAAATCTGATCCCTTTTCCGATTAAGAAAGGTCGAGCACCTATCTGCCCTGCCACTGTGCCACTTCCCAGCAAGCTATGGAGGCCATCCATCCATTGCCCTAATCCTTCACTGGACTTGTATAGGGCAAATCTTACACATATAGAGTAAAAAACAAAACCACACGTGAAGAGAAAGATTTTTAAATGAAATATTTTATAACTGGTTAATTGACTGGGGAAACTTGGCTAGCATCTTCCTTTACTTACAAAGAGAAGACCCCATGGTGGCATGAATGCAGAAACCAGTCCCAACACTGGGACAGCAAAAGCAGATTTCCTTTCTATGACAGTACTGTCCCTAGTTCCTCAGGCACGCTTAGCTTGCCAATGCAACTGAAGAAGTGAACAAATCAAACTCAGCCATGGAGTTGTGCAAAGGACAATATAGTCCTTGCAGGACAATGCATGAGAGAGAGATCCTTTGTTTTATAGCTAGACATAAAATTTATGGTTTCTCCAATTTGCTAGGGGAAAGTGAACATATTTTGAGTCTAAATAGTGCTATCAATGTTAAGTCAAAGTTAAACCTCTTCTCAAGAACAGAAATAACTTTCAAAATATTTCTAAATCTAAATATTTCTACATGTCTTTTGTCTCTTAATTTGTGTCCAGTTGAGTGGTGAGCACACGTGAGAGGCTTGTCTGAATTTCTGTTAGTGTGGCATGTCTGTTAGTGTGGCCATGTCTGCATGTGGGACCTCATCTATAGACATAAGGAAATTAAATGTTTAATTTCCTTATTTTGAAATAACATTCAGGGTGTGAGACAATGCAATAAAAGGCAGTAATCTGACTGATAAAGGAATTTGACAAACCTCACTGAATCTGCAAATTTAAAATGAAGATCATGAATATACTTTCTGTTGATGCCACTTATTTTGTCACTTCCTTCATATTATTAAAATAGGCTTTCATATATTTCATTTACCTTTTTCTTTCCTTTACAAAATAGAAAAAGAAATCCTTAAAAACAAAATAGCAGTCCATTACTTAGTGGTCTCTCAGGAAAGTGAGAGTTACATAAGTGTTCATGTCATTTACACATGTGCAGTGTCACTTAAATATGTATCATCTTCCTGATATGATGAATCACTCCCTAGGAGAAGCTCTGGCCTTTTGATTAAATACACTGAAGTGCATTTCAAAAAGGTTATTAATTTAATCATTAGACACTAATAGCATTCTAGGAACTGTTTCACTTTATCATTCAAACTACCAAGGCATGTAACAGCCCCTTCTGAAATAAGTTTCAGCTGAAATATTAGAAAACATATATAGAATTAAATAACTACTCAAAAAGATCTTCGTATGCTGTTTCCCATACATAAGCTTACCCATGTCGTATTCTCAGCACACCTGTCTCGGCCATAAGCTTGTAAAGCAAAACTCAAATGACATGAAAAACTGTATTGTTCTATTGTTTTTCATTATGTGCTCCTCATTTTGGACTTCCCACCAGTGAGGAATATTTGGATTCAAAATTTTACAACGAAAGTAAAAATCTCTGAAAACAGAGTTTGGGGTAATAGACAACCAAGATAAGGCAAGACCATTTGTCTGGAGCATCACCACAATATAAACCAAAACCAGCATAATTTTGGATTATCATACATAAAAGCAGCTCAGTGCTTTGTAGACAACCATCATTCTAGCTATAGGACCAGATTTAAATTTTAGATTATTGACAGATTATAAAATGTTAACAGTGGGGTAAACTGCAAAATATGCTTTATGTACATGTGAGAAGGCTACAGTTTATAAAAGCTAAAAAAAACCAAAAAAAAACTATTGGCGTTTAGTGAAATCTGTCCCTGGTCCTGATTTTTGTAAGGGAGCTTGGGGTGTTCCAAAAAACAAAACACACAAACCTTCTCTGTGAGGTGAGCTTTTTATTTCTCCCCAAACAAATGATCTAAACCAACCAAACCAAAGCTGGCCTTTGTTTCCTAGTAGTAGTCTTTACCTATCTGTATATGTCTAGCAACTGAAAGTAGGGAAGTTTTCTGCCAATCAGCGATGGGTCCCCTCTTCTCACCAGGTAGCTAACTACCTGGCTTTTTCAGCTTTGTAGGTGTTGTCCACACAGTGATACAGCAAAGGGTTTTTTTTTTTTTTTTCCTGGAAAGGAAAAGGGAAGGAAGGAACGGAGGAAGGGAGAGGAGGAGGGAGGGAGGGAGGAAGGAAGGGAAAAAGGGAGAGAGGGAGGAAGGGAGGGAGGAAAAAAGACAGAAGTGTCTTCTGGTTCTTCCAGAGCTCCTCCAGGCCTCTGGGCTAGCACAGATATCCTGGCATGACTTTTACATAGATTTGGTTGTCTTACTTCCTGCAAAGGCAAGTAAAGGTGACTTCTGGGCATTCGGTGCATTAAAGAAAAAAGGCTTTTAAAAAAGAAAAAAAAAGTGCTTGAAAATTATTCTCAAATTCTCAGGGACTTATCTGGGAGGAGAATCCAGGTGTGGTGTAGCATCTCCAGTGTGTACTGCCACTGTGCCCAGTGCCAGGACCTCACAGGCCCAGGTGAGGAAACAAGGGCGGTCCTAAATGACTTTCTTTAGGGCAAGCAAACATCCTTCAATGGTTTCCAGGAAGCAGTTGTATTCTTTGACATGTGGATGGTCCACCTCGGCCTTGGGAGCTCACAACTTTTTGGCACTGTCATGGGACACCGCTGCCCGGATGGTGGTCCCTGCTAAGCCACGGTTGCTCACCCTTCGGACCAACACCTTGGAGACGGGAATTTTTGTTCTGGGCATCTCACTCCTGGGTGGTTGCTGGTGCACAACGGGATGGCTTGATGGGAGGTTCGCGAGATGCTTGATGCTAATAGGAATTTTAGAGTCCTTCAGCAAACTGCCGGGTGTGCGCAGTGGACAAGTGATGGTTCCTGGGGACACCGGCTTTAGCCGGGACAAACCCGACGACGTGTCCTCGTGGGCAGGAAGGACTGCAGGGCTTCCATCAGGGTCAGCATAGAGGTCGTAGAGAGCATCACCACTGTAGCTGTCCCGGGGGATGGCCGCCTTTTTACTGCTATTGGTGCTGTCTTCCTCTGGGCCAGGAGTGGTCGAGTCCCAGTAGCCCTCGTCGCTGTTGGGGACACCTTCTTGCTGCTCCTTCTCCGGGGGTTTGGGCTCCTCCTTGGACTGGGGCTCAATGGGAATCCTGTTGAGCCTCCTGCGCTTGACGGAGGACACGCCCTTGGCTGCTTCTACACACCTGGCGTCTTTGGAGGTCTCGGGCACCACTTTGGTCTCCGGGGCAGCTGCCACCTTGACCGCTGCGTCCGGGGGCCCTTGTCCTTGGTCCTCGGTCTGGGAGAGCATGTCCCAGAACTCCTGCAGGTAGGTGTCGTCCACCTCATCCGGGCTGGCCATCTCCTCCCCTCCTCCTTGGTAGGCCACCACGCTGGGGTTCTTTTTAGAGAGCACTGCCTTGCCTGGCCCAGGGGCCTGCTTGTCACAGCTGGGACCTGCCTCTTCCTCTTGGTCTGCAATAATATCTCCACAGCCTGTAAGAGAGTCAAAGCTTTTCAGTGAAGTCACGTCACAAAACATCAAACAAATACGATCCGCCGACGGGTCTGAGGGCGGATCGACAGAGGCAGGGTCGGGGACGGCAGACGCCCGGCTGCGGCCACAGTCCGAGTCGACAAGGGGGACAGTCTTTATCGGAACGTCACCTGTCCTGGAGGCAGCATCCTCGGCCATGTGGACCTCGCCGGGCCCCGACTCGGGGGGCCCCGCGGCGTCCTCCGGGGCGCTCCCGTCGGCAGGGCCCGCGGGGCTCGCGGCCTCGCGGCAGGTGCGCGCTGGGGCGCGGTCGGCGGAGCCCGGCGCCTGCTGTCCCCCTCCGAGCTCACCTGCTGGGTGTCGCGGGTCGCCGGCGGCTCGGGGCGGCTCCTCCGTGACGCACTCCAGGCTGGCGGTGAGCGAGCCGGGCAGGATCGGGCCGCCCGCGCCCGCCGCGCGCGCCTCCTTGTCGCCCTCCTTGCCGCGTTTGTCCCTCCGGTGCCAGCGCATGCTGCTGAAGAGCCCCTTCAGCCCCCTCTTTTGTTTGCCGCCAGCCTTGCCGGCCTCGGCGGGCTCGCCTTTGCCCGGGTCCGCTCTGCCGTTCTTTTTCAAAAGGGAGAAGAAGCTGTGGGACTTGGCCACCGAGCTGGCGGCCAGCGCGCCCACGCCGCTCCCGGCCGTTCGGGGGGCGCCCGGGTTGGGCCGAGCCCCGCCGCCCCCGCCGCCCCCGCCGCGCGGCTCCTCCTTCTTGCCGCCCTCCAGCACCAGCACCTCGGCCAAGCCGTCGTGCGTCCTGCTCCTCACCATGCCCGCCGGGCCCGGGCTTTTCCCGTCCCCTTTGTTTTTGACCCCAAAAATACTGGGCATGGTGCCCCCCGATTTCCTCTTCTTGAACAATTTGAAGGCCGCCCTATTGATCTTCCCCGACGGCTGCTCGGTGGCCGGCGTCTCGGCGGCGCAGTCACAATGCGAGTCCATGTCTGTCGCCAGAGCCCCGCGCCCGGCCTCCTTCCTGCCGCAGACCCCCGCGGACGCGCCGCCGCCGCCGCGCTCGCTGACAGCCTCGCCGCGGCTGCTCCGGCCCGTCTCCATGGAAACCGCGCGGGATCAGCGGCTTTCGTCAGCCGTGGGCTCGCGCCAGGCCACTGTCATCCGTATTCTAAATCAACCTGAGCCGCTCTGCCCGCCGCGCCGCCGCCGGCAACGCACGGAAAAGACCATCTCCCTCCCGCGAAGGGCTTATATAATAACCACGACCCATCCCATCCCACCTGGCTGGCGCTGCAACACCGCCTCGAGCTCACTGGAAACATTAAAACCGCGATTTCGGGATTCACAGTCCATCCGCTGTCACCCACATTCGGATTCCTCCTCTAGTCCTGCTCTTTCCGGTAGCCAGATTGTGGCTGGCAAAATGTCCACAATCAGGACAAAGCAATTCAAGCCAATCTGAAAATGAAATGCCATTCCTTTTATGATCCATCCTGGACTTCCTGCATCACTGTGTCTCTCACCAGTCCTTCATGTCCTTACTTCACATTTGGGGCCTAAGCCCAGCAAGCATAAAGCCACTCTGTTTCCATCTGAATCTGGTCCAGTCTGAGCACCATCTTCAGGTTGACGTGTCAACCACATTGTGGTTCTGCTTCCTGTTACAAAAGCACCAGCTGTCACTCGGTACCAATCCACACCTCTAAGCACTGAAAGCACACTGGCCCTTTGGGACAACCATTCTTTTCCAGAATCCCCAGTGACAAGGGGCTGAAGTCACAGAGCAAGCAGTCCACATTTGGTCACAATGGACTGAACTGAGAGACAGCTTGGGAACCTCTGGCTACCCCACCCTCGGGCCTTGGAGTCCTGGGCTCTGTCCTCTCCTTTTCCATTGTGAAAATACTGGCTTATTCCTACCCCTGTTGCTGTCCACACCTGCCCCCAGCTGTAAACTTCCCCCCAGGCCTGACCTGCAGCCCCCTTCCCCTCTAGGGCAGGAAAAATCTGGCAGGGGTCCTTGCTCTACCCCCCTAGTCTGATAAAAGGAAAACCCGGGTCATCCAGGGAGCAGGCCAGTCTGACATTGAAGGTGACAGCTAATACTGACAAGGGGTCTCCTGATCCTGGTGAGGGCTTATGAATGAAAAAAGGAAGAAATCTAGAGTACATACACACATATCATTTAGATATGCTTTAGTTTATTTAATAATATTATTAATTGCTATTTCTTAAATATTATTTAATTATATATATTTGCACATATACCCAAATATCAGTCTCCTCCTACTCATCCTCAGCTCTATTTCTTATGTGTTGCTTGCATTATGCTAGGAAATCCCAGTTCCCGTCATTCAAGTTGTTTTGCTAATGACAGCTGTTGGCCACAGCAGCTTCTGTAATGGTGTGATGTACTTGATTATCGATTAGGCCTAGGGGTTGATAGTTATATGTTGCCTTTTTCTTTTTCTTTTTGATCAAAACCACTGTTTGGTAAAACCAAGAAATGAATGAGTTGAGGTTCTAGAGAGGTTTTTATTCCAGATTTGTAACTCCATCTATTCACATGAGTCCCACTATTCACATGAGTGTCTCCCTGAACACGATGTAAAATTGAGGCCCCCAAAGCCTTTCCCAGTTCTCTGGACCACTGGACATGAGGAAGCAGAGCACCCATCACTCTGCAGAGAACAGGTGTGAGGAAGTATGCAGGGAAATTTGTTATTTCTTCACCACCTTTTAGAGGACATTTGAAAGTCTTTCTGTCCTTTTGTTTGTTGGTAGTACTGATGTTTGAACTCAGGGCCTTGTAGCTTACTGGGCAAGGGCTCTACCACTTGACCCATGCTCCAGCCCCAATCTCTCTGCGTCTGTCTCTCACTGTCTCTGTCTCTTCTTTCTTTGTCTGTCTTTCTCTTTCACTCACACACACACACACACACACACACACACACACACACACAGCTGCTAGATATGCGGATTACTATGTAAGTAGCTATGTCAGTCTGGAACAGTTTCCAATTGGGGTCAGGGAAGAATGAATCTCCCTCGCTGAGGCTGAGAGCTGAGGGAAGGCTGCCAGCTTATCCTCTGGGTGCTCTCACCTCCTGAGACAGGCCAAATGTGACTTGACTTTACATGAGAATTCTTGGGCCTCCTGGGAGAAGACTGACTGAGGACTTTGGGATGGTTATCATTTCTTTGGGACAGAGATACTCAAAAAAAAAAGGGGGGGTGGCGAGGGTTCTTCAACCCGGAGGTAGTCATGGGCCCCGAGATAGAAGGGAGCAAGGACACTCGGAAACCACCGAAGGCACTGGGCAAGGTGAGCTTGGAAACTCTGATGTGAGTGAGAACCCTCCAGTTAGTTTCCTGCAATCCAAGGGCCTTGTTATGGGTCTGTCAGAAAAGGAGAGGGAGGTTGACTTGTGAGACAGGAGAAGAGAGAGTATGCCTAGAGAGGTGAAGAGCGGCCAGGCTATCAGTTGCTGACTGACATTGAAGGTCGTTATTACGAACCATGGCAAAGATTTCCCCAGTCCTGAAGTTGTTCTTCCAGTCAAGAGAGGTGGAAGCAGAGGTCACTTTTGTACAAAACAGAAACTCTTTTCCTGAAAGATAGACAAAATAGTCAAGATAATTTTACCAGGCACATCCCAGTTCTTGGTTCATTGGAGCCCCAATTTAGAGTGAAAAAAAAAATTCAGTCAAAAGAGATAAACAGTGGAGTTGGGGTAAAGTTTTCAGGACAAAGTTCTTCCAAAACAACGGGAGCAGCAGGTAACTTTGCTGCAGGACACATGCGAGCGTTTGGGTTTTGGCACAGCAAGGCGTTTGTCATTGAGCAGGGACTTCTCTTTGTACAGCAAGCCCCTCTGGAGGATGGTAACCACAGCAAGGGAAAAGGTGAGAGAAGGACACTGAGGAGCCATTTAAGAGCCAATATCAATAGCCACGTGTGGTGATACAGATCTGTAATCCAGAGGCTGAAGCAGGAGGATCACGTTTGAGGTCAGCCTGGGTGCATAGTGAGACCCTGTCAAGAAAGAAAGAAAAAAGGGAGGGAAGAAGGGAGGGAAGGGGAGAGGAAGAAAGAAAGGAAGGAAGGAGGGAGGGAGCCAGCTCATATCATTATCATGTCCTATCCACCCAAGCCCCTGCCTCTGTCCTAAGCTTACAGAGTGGTGAACCACCCAGTACAGTATGGGAAGGGCTGGGTGAGGCACTGCCCTTGGGGCCATCGTGTGGCTGGGGCTGTGGAACTCTCGAAGTCACAGCATTCCTGATTAAAGGGAGTTCTGGCTTTAATCTTTACAGGTGACATATTTAATCCAGGAGGTTTGGAAATGGTACCTGATTAGGGACAAACACTCCCATCTGCAGACACTTGGCCAGTCTGGACCCTAGGCGGTCTGAAATGTCCAGCTCCCTGCTCTTGTTGACTCCACCTGCGATTCTCCTCCAAGGTGAGCCCCTGAAGCAGTGAGGATCCTCATGTGTCCTGCACAAGGACCTTGGTATGAGACCTAGAGAAAGAGCCCTAGCTTCACCACCTTGATCCTTGATCCATGTACCTGAAGCCTGTGTGAAGTGCCCAGGTATCAGGAGGGAAACGCGGGTGTAGATTGTTATGGGATCCTGGTCCAGGGTGCCATGCAGCCAGTGCTGTCCTGTACGCTCCTTGCCTGGGAAGCCAAGACCACACGCCATGGCAGGCAGGATGGGAAGTGGTGTCTCTAGCAAGCACAATGAGTCCTGAGCGAGACAGAAGTTCTTCTGCATTGCTTAAGCGTATTCGATTCCTGATTTTTCCTGAACATCAGCTTTCCCTGTGAGTCTATAGTTGTTCTGTGTACATGTTTATTCAGAGGAGAAATTCATTTCTAAATAATAACATGTGAGCATTAAAGCACAGAGCAACTTGCAATTTTCCACATTGACCTTGGCGTACAATGGAGGCTGCTGAGAGCATAGAGCTGGTCTCAGGAGAACCATGCTGGCTCTGGAGTCATCGAGTGCCCAGGGGAGGAGGAGTTCTGGTTCATCAGATGTCACTTGGGCCCAGCCCTCGTGGTTTTGTATCTGCATCCTAGGTACCAAAGAACAAATAAAAGCAAAGTGAGTGCCTCCCTGTAGTGCTGGTGGTCTCAGGGGGACACAGATCAGGCAGCAACCAATAGAGACAGCACAGACATTTGGAGAAGACATTTCTGTATCTGTTTCCTGGGGCTGCCATAACAAACTTTCACAAGCCAGGCAACTGTAAGACAACAGAGACCTATGGATTCACGATTCTGGAGGCAGAAGTTGGAGACTGAGGTGGCTGTAGGACTAGTAACTACCATTGATCCTGAGGGAGAATCTGTCTTTTCCTGTCTCCTAGCTCACAATCTTGGCATTGAAATACATCCTCCCAATCTCTGCCTGCATCTTCATACAACGTTCTCGTGTGTCTGTCCATCTTCTCCTCTTCTCAGAAGGACACCAGTCATATTGGATTAAGGGCCCACTCTTCTCAGCTATAACCTCATCTTAATTGACATCTTTGTTACCTTTGCAAAGACTCTATTTCCAAATAAGGTTCCATCCCAGATGCCAGGGTCAGGGCTTCTGCACATCTTTTGGAGTACACAGTTTAACCCACAGCAAACATTAATGCCCACCTCACCTTCAGTCCTTTAGCACATCACCAGGGCCCTGCACTCAGGCACTATTGCCCTTGGACTCAGGCATCATCGGGCTCAAATTGGACATGGCTGCTCTAATGGGAATGTTCAGATTTCAAGGTCATGGATGGCCCTTTTGGGTTTCCAGCAATGTGGGACAGTACCAATGACAGCCAAAGTAGACAAGAGAAAGTGGTGTCAGCCAAGAAGATCAGACACTGACATATTACATGAGACTCCTGGGGTTCCCCAGGACCATTTGGGAGGAATGTAAGAGGGTACCAGACTTCCTTCATAGTGAAGATTATAGAACAAGGCAGACTGTGTCCGTGGCTCTTATTGCTCTCCTATGCCCTGCACTTAAGCCAGAGTGGCCTGAGAAACATGTCACACTGTCACACTGGTCTGTTCCTCTCAATCATCCTTGTCACTGCT